CATACCTTGAGGGGTCTCAGATTGGAGAGAGTGCAGGCTGGGCTAAGGGACACCCTTTTCATGCATGAATTTTGTGCACAGGGCCTCTAGTTAAAATCTGTCACATTGGCTATCATTAAAAAATAAACAAGTGCAGGTGAGGATGTGGAGGAAAGGGAACACTAGTTGATGGCTGGTGGGAATGCAGATTAGTGCAGCCACTATAGAAAACAGTATGGAGTTTCCTCAAAAAATTAAAATGGACTTCCATTTGACCCAGGGATTCCACTTCTGGGAATCTACTCTACCACCCCCAAAACACCAATCAGAAAGAACATATGCATAATATAATTCATAGCAACATTATTTACAATAGCTATGTTTGAAAACAGTCCAAGGGCCCATGAGAAAATGAGTGGATAAAAAAGCTATGTGACATTAACACAATGAAATACTATGCAGCTGTCAAAAAGAGGGATCCCTTACTCTTTGGACAGCATGGATGAACCTGGAAAATATTATGCTAAGTGAAATAAGCCAATCTGAGAAAGACAAATATTACATAATCTCACTTATTTGTGCAATTTAATGAACAAAATAAATTGACAAACAAAATGAGATCAGAAGCAAGGAGGCATGGAGCAGACTGACACACCTTGATGTGGGGTTGAGGGGATGAGAAGAGATAAACCAAAGAACTTAGATACTTATGTGCGTAGCCCATGAACAGAGGCAATGAAGAATGAAGACATAGGGTGAGTGGGTAGGGGCTGAGAGGAGTGGGGTAAACAGGGGGAAATGGGAGATATCTATAATATTGTCAACAATAAAAAGTACATATATAAATAAAAATAAAATAAATAAATAATATGAGATGTCTGTTTTTACATTTTGGAGTTTTGTTTTTTTTGTTTTTGTTTTTGTTTGTTTGCCTTTTCTGGGCAATTGTATAAAAATATAAACTATAATCATTTATCATTATCTTCTAGCTCCCTGGATCTCTTTCAGAATATCTTTCTAAGAAAAATGCTAATGATCAAATTAAACTCTCTTAACACTAATAGGTAAAATAAAGAAAGCAAACACAGCCTTCAATATCATATTTTAGACTAGCTCCCAATAATTTCCCCCTAGAGCATAGACTTGTGGTTAAGCAAAAATTTCCTTCATTCATCCTTAAGCTCTCTCTAGATCCAAGCTCCCTATAGACATCCAAAGGCACAGATGTTTATGATTAAGGTATAAGAGGCTGCAGTTCACCCAAGGTTATATGTAATTACACTTAAAAAAATATTTTATTGATTTTTAACAGAGAGGAATAGAGAGGGATAGAGAGTTAGAAGCATCGATGAGAGAGAATCATAGATGTGCCTGCAACCAAGGTACATGCCCTTGACAGGAATCGAACCTGGGACCTTTCAGTCCGTAGGCTGATGCTCTATCCCACATGTGTCAAACACAAGGCCCGTGGGCCAAATCCGTCCCGCCAGGCCTTGCAATGTGGCCCGCACCGCGCTGTCATCACTGCACTCCGCTGCGTTTCCATCACAATGACAGTTTATGACTGTTCAGTAAACCATTCGGCCCGCAATTTAGGCTGGATTTTAGATTTTGGCCCCTTCTCTGATTGAGTTCGACACCCCTACTCTATCCACTGAGCCAAACTGGTTTCAGCTGTAATTACACTTTTAAAGACACCTTGAGAGTTTGGTAAGAAATATGAAGTACATATTTAAAGCAAAATGAGAACCAGTTTGTCATTTAGTGATTGTATATTTATCACATATCAACAATTATCAGACAGCTACTTGGTTTTTAACATTATATCTTGATATTAGTTGAATATATATTATATCTATTGACTTCTTTGATTCAAAGAAATGTTTGTGTACCATGGTTGCACTTCTATCCCAAGAAAAATAATTTACTTATTTTGAGATATTATATCATATATTTCCCCGAGACTTATGTAGGTGCAACATTTCCATTTGGCATTTACACAAGTTCCATTAATTAGATGGTTTATTTCAATCCCATTGTATATTTGTCTTAAAGCACCATTTATATTTGTTTGAAGAAAGGGCCCCAAAAAGTGAATCCTGGACAAGAATATCCTGAATTGCATGAGCACAATTTAATATAGAACCATCACATTTAAAACATTTACATGTAGAGTTGCAAATTTTCTTATTATGTGTTTTGACAGACAAAAATATATGTTTAGCAACATTTTATATATCTGTTCATTCAGTAGCAAATACAATAAATTATACATTATATAAGAGTAAATGTTCTGAAAGACTAAAAGAAAGTCTTGATTTATCTTTAAGATACAATGCTAATTTATTATTTCCAAATAAAAAAGCTAATAGCCATTACATTAGGTGAACTTATTTTAAGCTTACATTCATTTAATATTCACATAAAATGTGTTGCTTACAAGTGTAACAGTGAAGTTGGATTTTGACAATCGGTATTTGAAAGCATGTTGGTGACTCTATAGTTGTGTTTCATCTACAAGTTTGATGTTTGGAAAAACATGTGTGAAGAAACACTAAAATTACCCAATAAACATATTCTAATAGCTTAAGAGTATGAATGCAAAATGTTTTATTCTAATGTTTTATTACACAGGTATTGTCTCCAGGGTTAATATAGCCAGTGTCTAAAATGTTTATGTTGCTTTGTTTTTATTGAGAATGGGTTTTTGAAAAGTATGTCCACTGAGCAAAGCTGGAAGAATACAAAGCTGCCTCTAATACCTGTGATGTCTCTAATACCTGTTTTATGCTTATCACAGTGCAAGTGATGAGTATAAAACCCTGTCTTGTGCACTTCACAACTTTATTCCTTCCTTGGAAACTAGGGGAAATTTGTTTGTGAAGGTGCCTAATTAAGGACCTTACAATTATTGTTTCCTTCCTTTTGAACTTTTACTATTTTTGTTCCTTTAAAAAATAATCTTGCTTATTTCACTTAGCATAACATTTATTATTGGGTTTTCTATTAACCAAGGTTTTTAAAATCATCTAGTTTGAGAGTAGGTTGAAAATAATAGGTTTAATAAAATAGAACATTATGTGATATCTAAAATGAGTTATCTACTTTTTAATATTTTGGATAAGGTAAACTATTTCCCCTTCATCTTTCTGTTTTTTAAAAAATGAATTAAATGAAATGAATTTTCACTATTAATATTTATTCTTTTTCACTGGATTTCATATGATTGTTTGCACAATTATTGCCAGACAACACTGTAAAATGTCTGTAAAGAGAATGGACTTCCCTCTGTACTCTGTTACAATGCTGTACTCTGTTATCAAGATTTTTTTGTGAATGCACAAGCCTAAATAGGTTGAAACAAAAATGTGTGGTGATATAATGGATACAAATATGATTTAGGTAGTAGGCTAGAAAACATGGTACATCTGAAGTGTCCTGTTTTCCGGACACTGTAGCCCCATCCACTAATCACTTTTACTGTCAAATTATGTCATCACTGTGGTTTTACTCTAATGTTTTCCCTACCCCTGGCTCTTCTCTCAGCCCATGTCTGAGAATCTTAGGATGTTCACTCTTACTGGTTCCAAAATTGCTCCTTTCAAGTGCTCCAGGGGGCACTGAGCATGGAGCAGAATTTGAGCAAATAAATGCGTACAAAGAACTCTCTTTTCATTTAGGTATGAATGATGTTCTGTAAAAATTTTGAGTGCAATGTCATAACCACCATCAATATTAGATAAAGCATTAAAAATATGGGATGTTACAACAGGTAAAATGATTCAGTTTTATATTTTAAAATTACCCTCTAAATTTAACTCATGTTTAATAACAAAGAGATATAATATCTAATGCTTTTGAACAAATACAATTAAAAACAGGAAGTCCAGCTTCTCGATCACCACTTTTATATAGAATATCCAAACTGAATAATCCTCACTTCATCTAAGAATCACAGAAAGGAAATACCTTTAGAAAAATTAAAATAATTCAGTCTGCCTTTTTTATTGGATCAAATATTCAGGTAATTTTTCAGCTCAACAGTTTACTTTGCTTTGTTACACATAGCTTCAATTATTCCTGTTACATCACTTGTGGGAAAGCAATTAGAATTCTAAAATGGATACAAACCATTATACTATATACACACACATATTTTTCACTCTAGAAAAGGAACAAAATAATATTTAGTGACCCATCTCATGAAAGTTATGTAGATACCAAATGTTCAAATTGATTCTTCTTCCCTTTAGGACTTATGTTTATTTTATGCTTTCTTCTGCATTTTAAAATTCACTGGATACTTTTTGTAGTGGTAATTTGTCTACTGCCTAAGACTGGCTTATATGAAAAAGCGCTATGGAGTAGCCTTTTAAAATCTATTTTTATAGAATTTATTGGGATGACACTGATTAATAAATTATATGTTTCAATTGTACAATTATGTAATGCGTTAATTGTATATTGTATTGTTTATTCACCACCCAAATTCTAGTTAGTCCCTTCCATTACCATTTATCTCTTCATAACTCACTTTTACCAGCCCCTACCCCTTTGCCTTTTGGTAATCACCATACTGATGTCTGTGTCTTATGAGTTTGTTCCGGATATTTTTGCTTAACTCCTTCACCTCTTTTGCCCAGCACCAGCCCCAGCACCTCTCATACTCTTAGAAATAAATTATCCTCATTAATACAGATGAATAAATTAAAAAGTACAAATTGGTAATCAGAATAGTCAGAGGGATGTGAAATATAATTAAGGAATAAATTCAGTAATATTATATTGTAGTAACTATGTATGGTACCAGGTAGGTACTGGAAATATCAGGATGATCATATCAGGATTAACATATCAGGATAATCATTCTGTAAAATACACTGAGTGGCCAGATCATTATGATCTCTGAATGCATAATAATCTGGCCATTCAGTGTATATCCTATATAATAAAAGGCTAATATGAAAATTGTGCCCTTGACCAAAGTAAACTGTTGAGCTGAAAAATTACCTGAATATATATATACTGAGTTTCCAGATTATTATGCATTCAAAGATCATAATAATCTGGCCATTCAGTGTATATGACTGTCTAAATACTATGCTTTACACCTGAAAATAATACAAAATAATGTTGAATATAAAGTGTAATAATAAATAAATAAATAAATAAATAAATACATGCATACATAAAACATAAAATTGGTGGGTTTTATTTTTCTAGTTTTACTCCTGTCAGGACTTGCAGTTTGTCTCTCATTAGCCTTAATTGGTACTATAGAGCTACCTCACCTTACATATGGCTCAAGTTTACTTCTAAGCCAAGACATTACTTCTTTAATCATGAATCAGAACTTTATAAACTTAAAATGAAGGTAAAAATCCACTGTTTTTCCTGTTACTTATTCTTAATGGCATTTTGTATTTATGGTTTTAAGTTTGCCCACTAGCCATATCTTCCTTGTCCCCTGAGCTCTCCTCAGTGCATACAGTGGCTGGGGATACACTCAAAGAAGCCACTGCTCCTCCATACAGATTAATTCTATTTTCCTATCACCATACAGATACAAAAGTCACCATTAAATATAATTTGTGTTTTCTTTGCCTATGCTCAGAGTAATACATGCTGCTATTAAAAGAAAAACACATTGCATATTCAACATGTGCTATAGTTAACACAAGTTAAGGGATACATCATCCTTCAAGGAAATCAGCTGGCTCATTCATTGCATCATTCATTGGTGTAACAGTGCGTCATGCTCATAGCTTCTGGAGGTGATTAAACTACATTCACCAGTGTGTTAGCAGACAATGTCTGGATCAGATTACCTCATTGCCTTGGTTCCTTCATCTTTGTTTCATTTTTTCATAATAAAGATACTTCACATGGCCCTCTGTTCTTTGAGTGGGGCTTTACTTATTACTGAATATCTAGGAAAACTATCTAGAGACAAAACCATATAGGATTGAGAAACACCAATGAGAAACAAAGCTGATGCTTTCATAGGTACTTCTTTTAGAGTGACCTGTACTTGTTACAGGTGTATTTTTATATGAATTTTTGTCTTCCTGGGTGTTATTTTTAAATATATATTTACATGCTGCTCACCATCCCTCCAGAATTAGCCTGCTACATAAGTCTGAGAAAGCAGTGTTTTGTTTAGATGGGCTATTGTAAATTATCCTCAGCCCCAGACCCTTCAGGACTGGAATCCATGTGAAGGAAAGCCTCCTTGTTGGTGAAAGTTGAGCTGCGAGTTATGCTCTGTCGGGGCTTCACAGGTGTAAGTTCATCTAGTTTAATATTTTCATTTTTGACCAGAATGGTCTTATCCATGTTTTCTTCACTATGCCTTGCAACAACAGCATCAAATACATCTAATTTTGGTGGCAAGGTTCCACTTTCAAATAGGTATTTGGCTAGATAAGAAATGCCAATGTTGGTTAAGAATGAGGTCACCATGGCCAGAGTTTTAAAGGGGAATCTCTGATTGAATATGCCATTCTTATCAGAGTAATAGCCAGGATAAAAGAACAAGGGCTGCAGGTACAGATATGGCTCCCCGCCAGTTATTCTCAGGAAAAGACCAGAAACATAACCTGCGGCAGCTCCATACGTGTTGGTTCCCTTGACGAAGAGCACACAGAGAAGCTGCGGGAAGATGATGATGTACACGAGGTCTGAGCTGAGGTACCAGAGCCCATAAACGGTCTTTGTGAGCAGTGCCATAGCTGTTGCAGAAGCTCCAAACACAAACACTGTGATTCGCATGACCCACACGATTTCTCTGTCTGATGCCTGCAAGAAATTACCACAGCTGGTCAAAAGAATTTCCTGCTTTCAATTGGCTCAACCTATGAGAAAAAAACAACCTAAACCACATCCTATGAAGCAAGCAATCTAATAGCTGGCCTCCCTGGTGGGCCTTAGGGAAGGTTGCTGAGCACAGCATGCAGGACCAGACCACCCACACCTTTCCCAGATTGTGCAGGGGCAGTGGTGAGCTGAGTTAACCTGTTGTCATAGAAGAACAGCACAAAGGTAGGAGTTTGGGGATTTGCTCATTTTACATATTATGGAACAGTTATTATGTAGCAGTGAGGAGGCATGGTTTATCCTTGCTTCTTCTCTCCACAGGAACCCTACCATCTTTAAGGGAACCACCTTCAAAAACAAGTGGGAACATTTTGTTAACAGTGACCTAGAAAATCTAGAGAAAGGCAAAGCCTTGGTCAAGGAAGAAGATGGAGAAGGACTGATGGGCCCTAGTAGCCGATAGTAGCGTGGTGTTCTACAGCCACTAGATGCAGCAAAGAAACCAAATTGGGAGACTAGGTTTGGACAAAGGTGAACTTGAGAGTCAAGTGAAGAGTAGGACAGATGTTAACACAAATCCCATGAAATTATTTGCCATGTTCTACTTCTACTAGGGTTCTCAAGTTTCTTAACATGTTTAATTAAATTCAAAGTTATTCTAAAATATTTTAGGTTTCATTACTCTTTCACTAGACAGGAGGGTTTAAATTGTAACAATGTAACTGAACATCTTGGGAAATAATTATATTGCTTTGTTTCCTTCCGTATTAACATGAATGATTATATGCATTAAAATATCACTATATAGCATAAGTGAAATTCATCATTATTTAACCTTATATGCTTAATGAAAGTAGGGTTGAATTTTAATATATGATATTAATAAGTATGTAATATTACATACATAATAAATATACTAACAAAGACAACAACAAAACAAGAATGTAACATTTAAAACATCTTTCTTACATTTTGTCTGAATGAGAGCTGGTAGATGTTTCGAGCAAACATTGAACTTGCTGACAAGATAGAAGAATCTGCTGATGACATAACAGCAGCAGAAACTGCACCAAGACCGAAGAAAGAAATGTACACAGGGCAGAGATACTGCAGAACAATTGGTAAAATCATGTCTGCTTCTTCATTGCTTTTGGGATCTGGCATCCCATATGCAGTCTGGTTCCAGTCTATTGAATAGAAAAAAAAAAAAAGGAATAAGGAGAACAAAAAGTCATATGTTCTTTGTCAATCTGGGGTCATCCTATTTACTAGCTATTTTTTAAGACAATCTAGAATGTACAAATTAGCTTAATTAGGTGGGAAGTCTAATTACTCTAACTAGGTATGTTAGTCTAACTAGGTGGGACATCCATGTACTGGTCAAGTGAAATTATATTATAGGCCTTAGCTTCTAATGGGTTTTGGTTATATTTAGTCTTATTCAAAAGACCAGCACAGAATATGATCGTGAAAGATCTACCTATCATTTATCTATCTATCATCTATATCTCTATCATCTACCAATCTATCATCTATCTATCTATCTACCTACCTACCTACTACATACCTATATCTTCTGAAATTGTGGCATTCCATTGTACAGAATCATATAAAAAGTATTAAACTGAAACATAGGTGAGTTCTTTAATCATTTGAGAAGACGCAATACTTCATTCCTTAGTCTTCAGTTATAAATGCATAAATGGATTTTTAATAAATAAACTGGGGTTATTTTCACTCATCCTCTTTCTGTATATAAACTTGGGTTTGGAGCTCCCTCAGCATTACTTCTTCCCAATTAAATTCATCTTTGCATCAGTTAGTTACTAGAAATAGGAAGTATAATAGATAAAGGAAATTCCCATTTTTAATGATTAAAAAGCAGATACACCTGGCCTGTTTGGCTCAGTTAGTTGGGCATCATTCCCTGCAGGAAGAAGTTACTAGTTGGATTCCTGATCAGGGTGTGTGCCTTGGTTGCAGGCTGGATTTTCCAGGAGGGGGTGTGCAGGAGGCAGCTAATTGATTTTTCTTTCTCATAGATGTTTCTCTTCCTTTTCCTTCCTCTCTCTCTAAAACCAATAAAAACATATTTTAAAAACAATGCAGATACCAGGCTGAAATTTTCAGATTTTTGGACTCTGTGGTAAAAGGATTTGAAACGTATTTCTTAATAGATAGATCCTTTAATATTTAGTTATACAATAGTTCTCCATCTATGGATTTGCTTTCATTGCATTCAGTTACTCTCAACCTTGATCTGAAATTAGAAAATTCAAGAAATAAACAATTTATACGTTTTAAATTGCACCACATTCTAGTGTGTGATTCAGTCTTACATGGTCCCATCCAATCTTTCCAGAGATTCATGCATTCTATACATGCTCCCACCCATCAATCACTGTGGTATCAGTAGCTGTCTGGTATCACAGTGCTCATGCTTAAGTAAGCCTTATGCGGTGTCACTGTGCATATGCCAGTCACCTCATTGCATCTCATTATGTAGGCATTGCATCATCAACCTCATTACAAGAAAAAGAAGAATGAGTACCACACAATAAGGTATTTTGAGAGAAATAAAAACCACATTTACATTAGTTTTATTACAGCATACTGTTATAATTCTATTTTGTTATTAGTTATTGTTGTTAATCTATTACTTTGCCTAATGTATGTTAAAGTTAATTATAGGTACCTATAATAATAAAAGCATAATATGCTAATTAGACCAGATGTCCTTCTGGACAACCTTTCTAGAAGAAGCTGGGCTGTGAAGGCTAAGCCCCTTGCACAAATTTTGTGCATCGGGCCTCTAGTGTATATATAAAATAAAACAGTATATACAGCAAGTCTTTGAATAATGTCATTTCATTCAGTGTCATCCTATGTAATAAAGGCCTGCTATGCTATGTGTCTGGTCATCCTGTTGTTCATTCAACTAATCAAAACGTAATATGCTAATGATATACCAAGGCTGCTAAATTGCTTGGGATCTTATAGGAACCTAACTCTTGTTTGTTACCAATTAGCCTATGGTAAAGTTGATTTCATTATACATCATTTTGCTTAAAGTCACAGTACCTATCAGTGATGTTAAGTGAGGACTTACTATATGAGATTTGGTACTATCTGCAATTTCAGGCATTCATTGCATGCCTTGGAATGTATCCTCCATGGATAATGGGGTACTTTTGTACTAGCATATGCTAAAGAATAGAGATACATTAAAATAGCTCTTTTTTATTTATTTAACTTCTGTAATGTCATGATTACAGAATCAAATGGGAATCTTTTCCCTTGGATCTTGTCATTTTTTCTTCCCCTTATTTTCCATTACATTGTTAAAGCCATGATTTGATTAAGCCAATTTAATAGCATTAACTGACATGTCATGATACCAGAAATAACAGCAATCAAAATATGTACTTAATCTCTAAAAAAAATAAGCTTTATATTTTTTTCAGTGGATTGTCCTGCAGCACATATGCATAGCATACACTAATTTCCAGATCCATCTTCTGATTGTGACATAAATGCTATATTTTATTCAAAGGCACTTAGTCACCATTATCAGACATTGTTTTAAGTGTTTGCTTATCTCATGAATGTACAACTGGAATGCGTTATGAACCATAACTGCTCTCTTAAAATTTGTCATCCAATAAATAGCTCTACAAACTGTGGGTATCATCCTGGATAATATTTACAAGCACAACAGAGTAAAAGGTCACCTTCTGGAGTTTATTTTAATTAGCTGAACTTACAGGGCTAATATGACATATTTGTGTAAAAAACTCAAAATCTGTATAACACAGGAACATACAATTCAGGAATAATCAATAAGATCAGTAAAATTAAGGGTGAGATTTAAAAAATCTTTGAGATAGAGTCTAACTGGGAGACAAACATTTTATAATGCTCTTTTACCAGTTTGAACAAGTTATTCTCTAAGAGACTTAGTACCTTAGTTTATCTTTATCTATACACATATTGCCTGATTTCTTCAAGAAGGAAAACTTAACTAACAATAAAAGCAACACCTTCAGGTTTAAAGTGGTCATAGTAATGGCAGGCAAACTTCTGGCTGTACTTTACTCTTCGAGGGGATTTTAAAAACCCTGGTCACTGGCTCTATCTTAGATCATTAAAGTAAAATCCCTGTGGGGTGAGATAGAAATTGGTATTTTTTTTAAAGAGTCCCTCTTCTCCTCTGCACATGATGTGAATTGTACCTTAATTGAGTAGAACTGCTGACAGGATTACATATACACAGTTGATAAATATAACAATGCCTGGGGAGGGGATGATTATAAATATTTCATTGGTGGGATGAGAGTTGAAAAATGTTTGGAGACTACGAATGTATGATACAATTTGTTGAAGACTATAACGATGGACTATGCGGGGGTAGAGGAAAGTGGGATAGGGAGAGTAGCTGTGGTAACTGGTAACTTTGCTGGAGCCAGAGTGGTTCAATGTGAAGCTGCAAGAGAGGTACCTGTTGATGCTCCAATGGCCCCGATGAGTATAGATGGTATAGCCATCACCAGGCATCCAAAAGCTGCCAGGAAGGATAGCACCTGAGCGTAGGTGGCTGAGGATGAAGAGAGGACTCTCTGGAAGTAGGCTTGCCATGGGATTCCACCCAACATCTGCATGGGAACCAAAGTGATGCAGAATTTTATTGGAGACAAATAACATATATTAGATACTTTTAGCATGGGATTACATTAATGCAATTACTTTAAGAATAATTGTATGTATATCACTAAAGTATAAAGAATGGTCCTACATGACACACACCTCAATGGTTATTATTTTGTTATTATATTTACAATTGTGCAGAATTTCTCCCTGTTTGTTTCCTTTGTAATTACACAAGACAATATTTTCCTAAATCTACCTTCTCTAAGCTGCAATACAATGTCCTAGAAGTCTCTTTGTTCTTATCTGGAGGTCCTAACCACAAAATTGTCTCAAAAAATTAAGATTCTGAAAACATGGAGTTTTAAAATCTGAATCAGTACAGTCCAATGAATATTTCTGAACTCTGATATGTGCCCGGCAAGGTAATGGCTGTCAGGGCACAAAGATGAGCAGGGATGGCTTTGCCCTGGGTCGCTGTCCACCAGGAGAGTCAGCGCAGTGCAGGGTTCTCCAAAGCGGAGTGTGCAGAGCCTCCAGAAAATGCATTTGGCATCCAAATTATCAGAACTTCTATTTGTAATCATTTTACCTCATGCCTAAATCTCATAAGGCTATTATTAAAGTATTTATACAATGTATCAGTAAAGTGTACATAAATAGTTTGTAAGTACATTTACTAACATTGAGAGTGTATTTAAAATTCATATTGATGAAATACTATGAAAAAAGCTTGGTGACATTGAGTGTGTATGGGAACAGAAGTCAGAAGCAATTACTTACTTTGGGGTAACAAAGGGGTAGAAAGGCACAACTGCCTGGTAATTAGGGAAACCTACAGAAATTACATCTGAATAAGTCCTTAGGTATTGGGAGAGTATCACTAGATGGAGATGGAGAGAGAAGAGAGTACCTGGCAGAGAATCCAATAGAAAAAGAAAGAAAGAAAAAGATTCTTTTCAAGCTTTTTTTGTCTTGTAACCTATAAATCAACATATTATTAACCTTTTCCATATAAATGAATATTGTTCAATAATATCAATGATTCTATAAGTTGATATATAATAACTCAGATATCAATCTCTCTTGATAATTAGGTCACAAGTAGGATAAAATCTGACCTCCACTAATAAACAGAAGCTCTGATGGCCAGGTAGAAAATGGGCTTGGAGAAATGAGAGGTGTGAGGGCTGACTGCAGGGAGAACTGATGGCCTATTACAATAGGCCAGGTGAGAAAAGCTGTCAGCCTTACTTTATGCTAGTCCAGGGACAGTGGGCAGTTCAGAATGGGATTGAGAGAGACCCTGAGAGTATCATGACCAGGATCAGACAGCCATTTGTATGAAAAGTGGAAGATCAGAGATCATTGGTGAGACATTTCAAGACTCACTTCTACAGTTCAGTCATTCATTCATTTCAACTTATTTTACAACTTAAAAAATAAAAATATCTTAACCATATGATTTTTTGAGCTGAAAAAACTTTAGCAGTCATTGGATATAATACTTTATCTTGAAGATTAGCAAAGCTGAGGACTAATTAGTATAGAAGAAAGGACTTTGGGGTTTTGCTTTGTCACTATTTCAATGTTTTACTCAGGCAATGGTGTTGTTATTTTTTTTTTCAAATTTTTTAATTGATTAAGGTATTACATGGGTCCATATCCCCCATTTATTATTAACAAATGACCTATCATTTGTGAGTCTCCTCATTTCTTTCCATATACCATAACATACCCACTGTGCAGGTACAGTTACATACTCAGATAATGTTTGCTACTTTCTCCATTAAATTAAAAATTGTGACCCATTTAAGAATAACTTTAGCTAATACATTTTGTAATAATCCTTGGAAAAGAAAATCCCCCACCTCCATAAGAAACATTTTTTTTTTTGTTCTTGTTCTCCTGCCTTCTTACCAGGATATTCTTTACTGAGACAGATACATCTAATTTCAGTGCTAAAAGTTAACAAGTGCCACAAAGACAAAGTGCAATCATAATAAATTGTGACCCACCAAAAGAGAAAAAAAAAAAAAAACAATTTCCCCTTAATTTTGATATAAAAATTGCTTTATTTTACACAAAATCCTCCTAACTAGCAAAGTCACAAAATCTGGCAGGTAGGTCCCTTTGATTTTCCCTCTTCTCTTAATCTGCGGTCTGCCTTTATTTCTTTTGTACTCACTTCTCACTGACTGCTTCTCTGTCCTAAGGTCCTGTCATTCCCAGGTCTCCTCAAACTGCCCAGACCTTCTTCACTGAGGATGCCTTTCCTAGTTTGTCTCAGACACGTAAGGCTTTAGCACTATTAGTTTTCTTACTATGTAGAGACTAAATGAGTCAATTATTTCAGAATAATTTGACTTAATTTGGCCTAATTCAAAATAAAAGTGAAAACTTTTAGCTGGCTTGGTTCTCAGATTGAGGAGGTATCTAGGAGTATGGCATAGGGTTCCTTCATTTATAGCACAACAGAAATGTGTGCACACAGTCCCATGGCCATTGTCCTTTAAGGTCTTACTTGCTCTCCACTTTGACACCAGTCAGCTCCATCCTTCCATAGAAAGTGGTAGATTCAGAAATGGCCATGAGCCAGTGAGTTAAATTTACATAGAATCATTCAAATCTTAAAAATGCATTTGGTTTTAGGAAAAAAAAAATTAGGTGGCATTTATCAGTTAAGACACCACTTACCAACAACAGAAAACTGTCAAGCCAAGTGTAGACTTCAAATGATTCAATGGTGCCCAGCCAAGGAGCCTGGTATTTGGCATGTGTAGACGTAAACCCAATGTCGGTAACTGCAGGATGTGACAGTGCAAAAGGGACGCTGATCCACTGTAATTAGTGACATTAGATTGTTAGGCAAATATTTTAAACCATTTATTATGTGCGAGACTTAGCCACCTTGTTTTTATTTTTTTCTCATATCCCACATAGTTCAGTAGTTTCTCTTGTTCAGACAGAGAAGAAACTGGAATTATGTTCTCTGGGGAACATCATGAATACTTTGTAAGAGAAATTAAAGTAACATAATCTCTACTTTTGTGTTTAATTGTCCCAATATTGTCAAGTAGAGAAGAAGTCACTAGAAACTTTGGAGAGAGAACATTAAACTTGAGAATATACTCTTATCTAATAAAAGAGTAGTATGCAAATTGATCATTACTCCAAGACACAAGATGGCCACCCCCTTGTTATCAAAGATGGCTGCCCCCATGTGGACACAAGATGGCCGCCACAAGACAGCCTGCAGGGGAGGGCAGTTGTGGGCAGTTAAGGGTGCCCAGGTCAGCAGAGGAGGGCAGTTGAAGGGGACCCAGGCCTGCAGAGGAGGTCAGTTATGGGTGCCCAGGCCAGCAGGGAAGGGAAGCTAGGGGAGGACCAGGCCTGCAGGGGAGGGCACTTAAGGGTGACCATGCCAGCAGGAGAGGGTAGTTGGGAGTGACAAACTGGCAGAGGAAGGCAGTTAAGGGTAACCAGGCTGGCAGGGGAGGACAGTTAGGGGCAATCAGGCTGGCTAGGAAGCAGTTAGGTGTTGGTCAGGCTGGTAGGCAGAAGCGATAAGGAGCAATCAGGCAGAGGCAGGTAAGCATTTGGGAGCCAGAGTACTGGATTGTGAGAGTGATGTCCAACTGCCCGTTTAGGCTCAATCCTGGTGGGATCAGGCCTTAAGTAGGTCAGATATTGCTCAATGGGTCCCAGAATGGAGAGGGTACAGGCTGGGCTGAGGGGCAACCCCCTCTCCCATGTAAAAATTTCATGTACTGGGCCTCTAGTATAATATAATAAAATTAATATAATATAATATAATATAATTAATATAATATAATATAATATAATATAATCCACCTACCTAATAAAAGAGTAATATGCAAATTAACCATTACTCTGCTACACCCACCAGCCACAAGCCAATCAGAGCGAGTATGCAAATAAACCCAACCAACATGGCTACATCCACAGAGAGCAAGAGGGAGGCTTGGGTTTCCCAGGCAACAGAAGAAGCCAAGCTTTCTACCTGCCCTAGCCAGCCTAAGCCTCCACTCAAGGCTACAAACTTTATAGAAGTTAAACAAATCTAAACAGAAATGGCTGCTGGCTATAGAGTGGCAGGAGGCTTGGCTCCACTCTAGGCTACAAAGTTTCAATTGTAGAAAGTAAATAAATTCCAGATACCAGGGCCTCCACTTGGGTCGCCAGGGGGCATGGCCAGCCTGCAAATCACTGTAGGCCCCTTGTCCAGGTCACCCCATGCCCCAAGGGAACCCCCATTCTGATCTGGGACACCTTTCAGGGCAAACCAGCTGGCCTCCAGGCCCTTATCCTATCTAATAAAAGAGTAATATGCAAATTGAGCATCACTCCAACACACAATATGGCTGCCTCCATGTGGTCAAAGATCCTACCCCTATATGGACACAAAATGGCCAACACAAGATGGCCATCAAGGGAGGGCAGTTGGGAGGCACCAGACTTGCAAGGGAGGGCAGTTTTGGGCAATAAAGCCTGCAGGGGAGATCAGTTAGAGGTGACCAGGCCAACAGAGGAGGGAAGTTGGGGTCAAACAGGCTGGCAGGGGAGCAGTTAGACATCAATCAGGCTGGCATGGGAGTGGTTAGTGGGTGATCAGGCTGGTAGGCAGAAGCGGTTAGGGGCAATCAGGAAGGCAGGCAGGTGAGCGGTTGTGACCCAGGAGTCCTAAATTGTGAGAGGGATGTCTGGATGTCCATTTAGATCCGATCCCAGTGGCAAAAATGAGCTCGCGAGAGAGGAATGGGGACCAGCCAGGCATAAATGAGCTTGTGAGAAAGAAATAGGGGACCAACCAGACTGCGGTGAGGTGAGGGACAAGCTGCCTGCCCTATGTTCCCGGGGGCCAGCAGCTGCACCTGTGCCTATGGCCCAGCCTGGCCCAGGAGAAGGACAAGCTGCAAGCCCCATGGTCCCAGGTGCCAGTGACTAGGGCTTTGGCCCTGGAGAGAGACCATTCATGCGCCTCACAGTCCCAGGCACCAGTGGCTATGCCTGTGTCCCAGGAGAGTGACAAGCCATCTGCCACGCAGTGCTGGGCATCAGAGGCTTCATCCGCACCTGTGGCCTGGGAAAGGGACAAGCCACCTGCCCCGTGGTCCTGAGCACAAGGACCCATGCCTGTGGCCCAGGAGAGGGGCAAGCTGCCTGCCCTGTCATCCTGGGCTCCAGCACCTACAACTGCCACCCAGGAGAGGGACAAGCTGTCTGCTCTGTCATCCTGGGCACCTGTGGCTGTAGCCCGGGCAAAGCCAGCCTGGGTCCTGGGTGCCTGCAGCCATCCAAAGTGAGGGAATCCGCTAAAACCAGTTTGGCTCAGTGGATAGAGCGTAGGCTTGTGGACTAAAGGATCCCAGGTTCATTCAGGTCAAGGGCATGTACAGTGGTTGTGGGCACATCCCCGACGGGGGTATGCAGGAGGCAGCTGGTCGATGTTTCTCTCTCATCAATGTTTCTAGCTCTCTATCCCTCTTCTTTCCTCTCTGTAAAAAAATCAATAAAATATATTATTAAAAAACCAAAACAAAACAAAAACAAAGTGAGGGAATCCCAGGTCCTGAGTGCCTGCAACCAGCCAGAAGAGGGAATCCTGAGTCCTGGTTGCGAAGCTAGGCAGAGGTGGTTAAGGGTGATCAGGCCAGCTGGGAGCAGTTAGAGGCAATCAGGCCAGTAGGGGAGTAGTTACGGGCAATCAGGCAGTAAGGCAGAGGGGTTAGGGGTGATCAGGCAGGTAGGAAGGTGAGTGGTTAGGAGCCAGTGTTCCTGGATTGTGAGAGGCAGTTGGACATTCCTCAAGGGGTCCCAGATTGGAGAGGGTGCTGGCCAGGCTGAGAGACACCCCCCGCCCCACCACATGAGTTTTGTAATTTTGTGCACTGGCCCTCTAGTATAATGTAATGTAATGTAAAATTACACACACACACACACACACACACACACACACACACACACACACACGAGAGGCCCGGTGCATAAAATTCATGCATGGGGGTGTGTGTCCCTCAGCCCACCTGCACCTTGTCCAATCTGGGACCCCTGGGAGGATGTCTAACCGATGGGATTAAACAGTTGGACATCCCTTCCACAATCTGGGACTGCTGGCTCCCAACTGCTAGCCTGCCTACTTGATTACCCCTTACTGCTTCTGCCTGTCAGCACGATCACCTCCTAACCACTCCCCTGCCAGCCTGATCAATGCCTATTTACTCCCCTGCCTGCCTGATCGTCCCCAACTGCCCTCCCCTGACATTCCAGTCACCCCCAAATGCCCTCCCCTGTATATTCCCTCTTTATTAAATAGGGTTTTTTTCTTTAACATAATGGATGACCTGCAGACTCAAGGGTTTGATTCCGGTCAAGGCCATGTACCTTGGTTGGGAACATATATCCAGTGGGGAGTGTGCAGAAGGCAGCTGATCGATATTTCTCTCTCATAGATGTGTATAGCTCTCTACCTCTCTCCCTTCCTCTCTGTAAAAAATCAATAATAAATATTTAAGATTCTTACATATCTGTCTGGCTGTTGTGACTCAGTGGCTGAGACCCCAGGCTGGGGCTGGGACAGGATGGCTCCATGGGGAGTGAATTTGTTTTTGTTGTTGTTTGTTTTTTTTTTATAAAGGGCCAGGAAGGACACTGGGCAGCTTTCTGCCAGGCCACTTACTCTGCTGGGACTCAGGCAGGGCTTAGAAGACTGGGCACTGACATTTTGTTGTGGAGTGCTGATTAATTTGCATATTACTCCTTTATTAGATAGGATATATTAAAAAATATATAACCATTCATTAAACTGACAAGGAAAGACTTGATTGAGAAATTGGTGGATGAAACAAAACTTCATGCATGATTCCAGTACCTAATTTGTAGAAGAAGCAAATAAAGGACAGGTGGTCTATGTGGAACAAGGCAAACAGCAGAATTTAGTGTGTGTGTGTCTGTGTGTGTGTGTGTGTGTCTGTGTGTGTCTGTGTGTGTGTATGTGTATGTGTATGTGTATGTGTATGTGCATGTACACACTGTTGGGTTTGGCACTTTGCTTGCATGGTGGTGGCTTACAGAAATGGGATACATAGAGATAGATATGTAAAGAGAACCTTGAATTGCAAGTTAAGAGATTTTTATTTTGTTTTGTTTCAACTAGAAGCTAGAGAAATTCCTTCTGGAATTAAAAAAATATTTTAGTAGAATGTCTTCATTTTTTTATCATAGACATGAACAGTGAGTTTGGAAAAAGGGAGGAGTTAGGAAGAGTAATAATGTGGCACTGATATAACCCATATAAAGCCCTGAAGCTGAGTAATGATATTGGAAATGAAAGATATTGTTACAAAAATAATTAAAAAGAAAGATTCAACAATCTTCAATTACAATAAGAAAAAAGAGGTTAGAGGGAAAAATAACTAACATATGGACCTCAAGTTCACAGTTATAGGATGATGATAAAATCAACAGAATTAAAGAATCTGAGAAGAAGAATTGGTTTATGCTATTATATAAGTTGATTAATTATATATGTACACATAGCACTTTGAAACTTAGAGAAGAAACTGTATTAGCCTTTTATTCTACCAACTTAATAATGCCTGAAGAAGTAACAAACAGAACTTGATTTCTTATCAATTAAATACATTTTATAGCAGAAAACCACTCTAAAACGCATCCTTACATATATTTGCCCTGCCATGGTTTTACTAGCACATTTGATCTATGAGCTTAGTATTTTAAGTTCTGGTGTCATACAAAGCAATACATCGTGAATAAATAGATTCATCCCTGCCGGGACCGGTTTGGCTCAGTGGATAGAGCATCGGCCTGCGGACTGAAAGGTCCTGGGTTTGATTATGGACAAGAGCATGTACCTTGGTTGCGGGCACATCCCCAGTGGGGGGTGTGCAAGAGGCAGCTGATCGATGATTCCCTCTCATCGATGTTTCTGACTCTCTATCCCTCTCTCTTCCTCTCTGTGAAAAATCAATAAAATAAATTAAAAAAAAACTTTTAAATAGATTCATCCCTAAAGCTGTGTTCATTAGAAGACCAACTGCATCTTTTATAAGAACTGTAAACTGCCAAACTAACCTTATCTTCAACATTCATAATGAAGTTTTATTTCTGGAAGTTTAAGATGTTGCTAAGAAAACTCAGAATCTCACTGTCACTTGCTTTTAGATATTTAAAAATAAAAATGTAGAAGTATTTGAGCTAGTTAAATACTTCTGGATTTAACTAAAATGTAAGTGTAAAATTCTGGGAAATGCAAATAAACATCTAGAAGAAAAAGATGAAATATTATAATCATTGCTAAATATTATAATCATGTAAATTAATGTCTAAACTGTAATTCTAACTGTAATTCATTCTTTTACATTTTTCTTCTGTATATTAGAGATGCTAGGATTTAAAGAACAAAAGAGCCATATATGAGTATAAAATTCATTCTTCATTTTTTCTTTTTGATTATCTAATGTAAACACTAGTAGAATGTTTACACCTGATACCTTTCATGATACGAAAAAAATCAAAACATCAAGGAGAACCAAGGGTGCTTAGATCACCCACAGAAAATGAATCATGATCAGTAGTCTTAGCTCAGTCCATGGCCTTTGCACAAGGGTATTGCTCTTATGGGAAACATCAATCCGCAACCAAGGTACATGCCCTTGGTTGTGTATATGCACAAATCATCACAGCTGCCAGCACAAAGTGCATATTCCATTTGCTTAATATTCAGTATGTCTTATGTGGTGGATATTATCCATGCACAAAGATTTGTGCAAGAATGGGCTTTTCTGCCCTAACTGATTTGGCTCAGTGGATAGAGCATCAGCCTGAAGACTCAGGGGTCCCAGGTTTAATACCAGTCAAGGGCATGTACCTTGGTTGTGGACACATTCCCAGTAGGAGGTGTGCAGGAGGCAGTTGATTGATGTTTCTCTCTCATCAATGTTTCTAACTCTCTATTCCTCTCCCTTCCTCTCTGTAAAAGGTCAATAAAATTTATTTTTTAAAAAGAGAATGGGCCTTCCTTCCCCTGGCTGCTGGCACCGCCTTTGCTCTGGCCATAGCTGCCTTTTTGCTTAAGCCGGGATCCGCCTTTCTGCCTTCCCACACTACTCAGAGGCTCAGAGTGGCTGGTATGGTACAGCATGCCTGTGTTGTCGCTATGGTGATGACACAAGCATCCAGCAACACTCCTGGCCCCTCCACGCCTGCATATGCAAATTAATCCACCATCTTTGTTGGGTTAATTTGCATAATCAATCCTGATTGGCTGGTGGGTGTCATGCAGCTATGGTCAATTAGCATCTTACTCTTTTATTAGTGTGATACAATTACAATAATTATGTTTTTAATTTTTATTAATCCTCACCCCAGGATATTTTTCCATTTATTTTTAAAGCAAGTGGAAATGAGTGATGGAGAGGGAGAGAGAGAAACATCAGCATGAAAGTCACATCAATTGACTGCCTACAGGACTTTCCCAGACAGGCACTGGGGACTGAACTTGCAACCCAGATACCTGCCCTGGACCTGGAATTTGTTGCATGGGCTGACACTCTAACTATTGAACCACACAGGCCAAGGCACAATGGTCACGTTTTAAGATTTTAGTTTACAAAGTATGAACATTGACTAAAATGTGTTTAGAACAAACAAAAGTGTTTTTAATATAATACTTCTAATGTTCATGTCTCATAATTATGCAGTGCTTTTTATTTAATGAAGTACAAATATATTACCTACTTTAACCTAGCATGTATATTCAATAAATAATAAATATTTTTAGTGCCTTACATAATAATTAAGCCTTTTCTTTATTTTTAGACCACAATTAATATTGAAATCCACAGTATTTCCAAGAGGAGTACTTCTATGCTCTATGAGGATTTTATAGATTAACTAACAGTAATGTAAGGGTAGGATAAGAAACTCATACAGGTTAGCATCAAGGTTTAAATTTTCAGGTTGTGAAAAGTGTGTTGCCTTCAAACTTAAAGGAACATCACACGTAAGCTTCCAGCAGATGTAGCCTTGAAGGATAGGAAGACTTAGACCTTTCTAAAAAGTAAACTGACGGCACACTTCTCTGGCAAAATCTAACAAAACTACTAGAAATTTTTATTAAATTAAATTATAAAGATATTTAACTTTTAATGTTATGTGATTTGCTATGTATTACTCATGATGAAAAATAACATTTCTATTAGATTTTGCTGAGTTAGTATAAAATTCCACATAATATTTTATAAAAGAAAAAGAATAAAGGAAGGAAGGTAGGAAAGAAAATAAAGAAGGGAGAAAGGGAGGAAGAGAGGGAAGGAGGAAAGAAAGTGAGGGAGAGAGAGAGAAAGAATATCTGCAAATGACCCCACTTACCAGTCCTATGAAAATACAAAAGAGCTGTACAACGTCTGTGTAGGCCACAGAATAGAGACCGCCCACCAGGGTGTACAGAATGGCAATGAGTGCAGAAACGATGACAGAAATATGTACATTGACGTCAATAATCACACTGATAGTGGCTCCTGAAAGAACACAAACAAGAGAAGGCTCTAATCAAGGAACTAAAGTGGATTCAGACTTTTGTAAAAAAAATATATTGAATGTTCAGTGACAGCAGCAGATGTTTTTCCCAGTGTCATATGAAATGTGAAAGCTAAAGTTAGTTTTTACATTGAAAATTTTAAATCTCAGTAAATTGATTATGCATATCTATATCTATCTATCTATCTATCTATCTATCTATCTATCCAAGAGGCCCAATGCATGAAATTCACACAAAAGTAGGCCTTCCTTTCTCCGACTGGTGCCCAGGACCTGGGTTTCCCTTTGGCTGCAGGCAGTCCTAGCAGTCCTGGCTTTGTCCAGAATGGCATCCACAAGGATGTCTGGTCTAATTTGCATATTATGCTTTCATTATTATAGATATTTATGTATATAGATACAGATATATATTAAAATTCTTTCTAATTTAAAAATTAATATTTTACTTATTTATGTGAGGACTCCTGAAATTCATTATGTGATTTTAGAATCCTATGAATTATATTAAATTTAATTCTACCATAAAAACTTACATTAATTATACCAACTGCTGGAACTCCAACTTAATATTAAATATATGCAATATATGTACTCTCACCTATGATATAAGCATAATGATGATTTATACATATTACAATTAATATTCACATTCTGTTTTGTATTAACTCTGACCCCTGCTATTTTTTATTACATAGCAGATGGTATAAGGTACTAAGCTTTGAGACAAATTTCTAAGCAAAAAGTAATTAAATAAATAAAATTGGCAAGTTGCATCTGTTAACATTTTCTCTTTCAGCTTTGTTAAAGTTCTATTTTATCTTATCTTATTTTATTGGTGAAGCATTCCTGTCCTGTTCTTGGGACAACAATGCATTGAATGGCCCCAGATTTCAACATCACAGTTTTAAATAATATTCACCATCAAAATTTTAAACCTACCTTAGAAATCAAGTTTATGTTTTTCTTACTGTATGACTTTGTTTATTGTATTTGTTTGTGTCTATGTTTCCATCCATGGTATTATGATATGGACAGTTGGACTAACTTGGAATTCCAGATCTGGATTTATTGATTTACAGAACTTTTACTCATTGTTCTCAAAAGTTGTAGTTTGTATTTTATATTATTAAATACAGCAATAATAGCACTGCTAACATACATACAACAAACCTGTGATTTTAATTGTAGTCTTATATTCTACTAGAGGCCTGGTGCACAAAATTTGTGCACTGGGTGGGGGTGTCCCTCAGCCCAACCTGCACCCTCTCCAATTTGGAACCCCTGGAGAGATGTCCAACTGCCTGTCAGACATCCCTTTCATGATTCAGGACTGCTGGCTTCCAACTGCCTGCCTGACTGCCTGATTGCCTCTAACTGCTCCCCTGCCAGCCTGATTGATGCCTAACTGTTCCCCAGCCAACTTGATCATCCCCAACTGCCTTCCCCTGACAGCCCGGTCACCCCTAAATGCCCTCCCCTGCATATTCCCTCTTTATTAGATAGGGTTTTTTCTTTAACATATTGGACAATGTACCTGCTGTGGTCTTGACAAAACATTAAAAATGTAAACCCAAACTAAAAGTGTCATAAATAAACTCCTTAAACAGGAATTTCGTGACATCTTGAAAGGGTGATAACATATGGTTGTTGGGCTTATATTTGAATAAGTATAAGGTTTATAGTTGATTTCATACTTTTTCATATTTTCTACAAGTTTCCTTTTCTTTTATAGACAATAGACATGTAATCAACTGTCCATCTTTTCCTCCAAAAATTACTTTGAAAGGGCAAAGTCAATTGGAGCCAAGTCTGTTAAGTAATGTAGGTGTCAAGATGGAAGCCTTTTTCACATAGAGGTCTACTAACACCGTACTTACCCATTTTCTCACAAACTTTGGCCCATTTTTTCCCTTCTGCTCGAAATACTCCTTCCAAGATGCCTTTCTCCTCATAATAATCTCAATCCTCTCTACTTATTAAAATTCTACTGGGCCCTTTGAAGGTTGGCCAAGTTTCTGTGGCCCTCTCCCTATCCTTGCAGCCAGATCTGCTTGCTCCTTTCTTGGTATTCCCACAGTGCCATGAACACAGCTCCAGCACAGTCCACACATGCAAACAGTTGTCACCGTTTCCTGTGAACGTCCTGTCCTATGCTCTTCCCTCTATAGGGGAATCAAGCTGGAGTTTTGCAGGTTGGGAAGAAGCCGGCGGCAGCTGAAAGCGGGACATGCCTAGAGGGGTGCAGATGCCTCATAGTCAACAGGCCTATGGCCCTGGCCACAGCTGGGAGTGGATCATGCCTGGGAGGTGCAGCTGCCTCCCAGGCCTACAGCCATGGCCTCAGCTGAAAACTGAACATGCTGAGAGGGGCGCAGGCACCCCCTAGCCAACAGACCTATGACCTAGGTCACTGCTGGAAGCGGATCATGCCAAAGGGCATGGCCACTTTGCAGGCCCATGGCCTGGGCCAGGGCTGGAAGCAGATCACAGGAGGGGGGTGGAGAACATGGGAGCTTCCCAGATGGATGGCCTGGGCTGTGGCTGGGAGAAGATGGAGCCAGGGATGCACAGCTGAAGCAAGGAGCAGATGGTGCTGGGGGTGTGGCCACCTCCCAGGCCTACAGCCGGGGCCGAGCTGCCAGCTCTCATTGGCAGCCCTCTGGTGGGCCTAAGGGGACTGGGTGTCACCACCTGGTGTCTATGGGTGCCTCCATTTTTGTCATGGAGTGATGGTTACTTTGCATATTACACTATTATTAGATTATTAGATAGGATTATCCCTATTCAATTGCCACCAGAGATAAAAATCCAATATTGCAAAGAGAAATATTAAATATTTTGATATAAGATAATATAAAATATTTTTCAAACAAAATTTTCTTAATGCTTTGTCTTTGGTAACAAAATTAAATTTCTTTCCTAAGTAAAAACCAATTAATAAAAGGAAAAGCCTGGTAAGTAATTGAAGAATGATGACAAGATTAGTCTAGCCTATCTAATAAAGAAGGAATATGCTAATTGACCATCCCATCCTCACAAAGATGGTGGCACCCACAGCCAATAAAAGGGAATATGCTAATTGATTGTCATACCCTCAAATATGGAGGCACCCACAGTCACAAGATGGTGGTATCCAGTCCCCTCAGCCCTAATGGGGTGGCAGGCATGTGGCACAGCTGGGTCTGCCCCCAGGCAAGCCTGGCCACACTGCATGTCTGCCTCTAGAGTCTCTCAGTTCCCTAAGCCCCACAGCCAGCCCAAGGCACAGGCAAGCCTCAGATGTTAGCTAGCCAGCCACCAGAGCCAGTCTGAGATGCAGGCAAGACTCAAATGGTGGCTGCCCAGCCTTCCAGGGGTGCCTGAGGCTCAGGTAACCAGGGCCGACTGAGGCTGGTGCTGCCAGTAGTGGTGGCAGCAGAGGTGTGATGGGGGTGTCGCCTTCTCCTGATCGCCAGGTCACCTCCCACCCCTGAGGGCTCCCGGACTGTGAGAAGGGCAGACAGGGCTGAGGGAACCCTCCCCTTTAATGCATGAATTTTCATGTACAGGGCCTCTAGTGTGTGTGTGTGTGTGTGTGTGTGTGTGTGTGTGTGTGTGTGTATCCCTAATATGCAAATAGACCAAATGGCAAAACAACCAAACAACCAGTTGCTATGATGTGTACTGGCTACCAGGGCGCATGCATGGAACATGGCGGTCATTGGCAGCAGGTGGCAGAGCATGGAACATGGTGGCATTGGCCATGGTAGGATGGTGGAGCAGGTGAGCAGGGGTGCCAGAACAAGGCAAGGCACTGGTTGCTGTCATCAGGGTGAGCCTCTGATGGTTACTAAAAATTCTTTGCTTCCATGTGCCACAGTCTTGCACAGTGCTTGCACCTGATGCTGGCATCAGAATTGCTGCTCATAACCACTGCCAGTGCTCAGCACCAGCCCTGATCACTCAGCACCATCAGCAGCTACCAGCCCCAATTTCCCCTCAGGAATTTTCCATCTCCCCCTGCTCCTAAGGGGTAATTGGGACAGCAGCTACCACTCATACCCACTGATGGCAATGGCTCCACCCTTACCTGTTGCTGGCACCGGCCCAAACACTCTGTATCACATCAGGTGTGAGCAGGGCCAGTGCCATCAGAGCATGATAGTGGCAGCAGGAGCAGTGGAAGTGGGGCTGCCAGCAGACAGGGAGCTGGATACCATGGCAGGAAGGCTTGGATGGAGCATGGAGGATGGGCCAAGATCTGCTCCTGTGTCCACTACAGCCTCATGGCCCACTGTTCCTTTCAAGGTGCACAAATTCATGCACTGGGCCACTAGTTATTTATAAGTGATGGGATAATTGACTTATTTTTTGTATAGACATTAAACAAATTATTTTTTTTCATATTATTTATTCCATGTTGAAACTTTAGTTGCAACTCTTGGCCATTTTTCTTTTGATCTAATTCTCTATTTTAATAACAACATTTTAAAAGTTATAGTCCATGAGTTATAAATAGTGTAATTATTACCCTACCTCTTTTCAGTGCTGCCTGTATGTTATAAAAGTAAGACCACTAGACTAGAATTGGAAACATTTGGGATTCTGATAGATGCTGCCATCTGGTTTTAAATCAGCATTTGTAAAGAAGTCACCTATGCTTCCATCATTATTAAGATTGGGGCGAATTTTCTCTAAAATATTTTCAACATTTGTAGTGAGTAAAATCACTGTGAAATATTAGTTTGTTTTCTAATGCAATCATTAAATAAATATACTATAACTAAAGTTATAACAATTCACTGAATTTGAACTGTCAAAACTGTAAATACTATACCTTTCCTTAAAAAGTTATAAGGATGTTGTTCATTTATACCAAGAAGATAATTTAAAATTCTCCTAACTTTCAGTGGTGAACTATGTACATTTATGATAAGATAGTAATAGATCTTATGCTTGTCTATTCTTAAGTATTTTAACTTGTTTATAATAAATATTAACT